TTTTTGAAAACTAATACTTTCTGAAATAAAACAAAATTTGCACGGTCCATGCAGACATTCTATATTTGTTAATTTTTCTATTTGTGCGTCAGAATACCGGTATACTTTTACTTTGCACAGATTCACCAAAAGCAGGACGAAATGTTTTGATTGCACATTTATGGGTAAACCACATCCGGATTCACATTAGTTGTTATATTCAATAAACACAAACAACAGCTTTTAAGGTTATCCCATCATTTTTAATTAAACTAAAGTTTTTTTACTTTTCCCGAGTTAACCAAAGCCTTGACTTTTCAAATCACACTGGAAAATAATGAGTTTAACCTCTGTGGTATACATTATGCAATATTGATAAATTGACTTTTTTTCTAAGTCTTTTAAGTTTTTTTAATTAATTTTCAAGCTTATACTTTTCATCTGATGCACAGGAAACATAACTGATGACATCCATCAAATCAATTTTGAAGCCACATCCCATTCTAAGATTTTAGTTTGGGAATCTGGTGACAATCCATATCTAGAGAACCATCCCTTTTGATGGTCTTAAATCCAACTTCCAATACTTGAATTAACTACGTTGCTTTATCTAAATGTCTGTATATGGTTTTGTACACCTCTTCTAAAACACGTTTTGATAAAAGAAACATCTAGAATATATGCTTTGTAATTTTTTATATATTTTTCTTTGAATTATCCAGGAATCTTAATCAATTGATATCTCTCATAAACCCCTGGTAATTCATGCTGATTTTTTGTCTATGAACATATGATGAAGCTTTAATTTGAAATAATGAATATCTTGAAAAATTATCAGTATTTAAGGTACGCTGCGTATGACCTTAAGTAATTGTAAAGTGTAAATCAAATTAGTTGTTTTATAATCACTTTACATGTAGTATTTTAAACTACTATTTTTTTAAACCATTGATTTAAAAAGTAAAATATTGAAGAGTTCTTAGAAATAAGATTACGGTATAGAATTATTTAAAAAGTACAATGCCACAGAATCACAGGACTATACATTCAGAGACTCAAGAACTTAGAAAAGTAGAAACATTCAAAACTTTTAAATTTTATGAAGTGAAGTATATTTCATTGGATATGAAAATATTCGCCAGAGAGACACAATAATGTACCATCATCAGTTTTGAATTGTTCGCAATGAACTTGGTTCAATTTTCATAAGGGGAAGAAAAATAATTGTATGACTGTTCAAGATATTTGATGAAAATCCCCATTTTCAACGCCACAAGTTTCCCTTGTTTCTCTTCTTCTTTTCCATCTAAATCTGTTTCTTACATGCTGTCATGCGATTTCTTAACATGACAAGAAAACGCAGAGTGTAACACAATTACATGTATCTGATTGTAGAGGAGATTTTATAGACTAAAGTTAGAATGCACTAATCATTTTTTTTAAATGAAACTAAGTATTATACAAAGATATTCAACATAAATTATCAATGTCTGGCCGAGAAAAAAAATTCCCAATTTCTTATGTGCATTGTTATAAGTATTTGTATTAATTATTGTTCTCTACAACTTTATAAGTTTTATGAGAATAAAGTCATTGTCATTGTCATATTATTTTTTGTAACATTTTTATAACTTTATTAATTAAAGACCGCTTAATTAGCGAAAGTAGTAGTCAAATTGCGCGTCTTAGATATAATTTTTGCCTTATATTTATGGTCTTTATGAAATCATTTATCTTGAAAGGGAGAATATTTTCAACTATTAGTTCTAAATTTTAATAAAGAAAGGGAAATTAGATGTTTCAACAGCAATGTTGATACGAACTTTACCTTTTCTTATTATTTTGGATTTTTGTGAAACATTTTTATCTCTCCGTTGCAAATGGCTTTACTTGATTATCTAACTTCATAAAATAAGTAATGTAAACTGTGATGTTCTTAACTTTGAATTAAAAACAAAATTAAGAATATGCCAACAATAATCGCGGAATACATATAGGTGCATTGGCAAGTAAAATATATGTCTTGCTTATTGTGGTTTTGAAAATGACGGTTAAAATCCGTAGCTGTAAAACCCCATGTGAACAAATGCATAACATAAAATAATCAATGATTCATAAATATCTTTAAAAAAGTTGAAAAGGTTTTTTCCTTAAATATTTACCTTGCAACGAAATCCTAACCTATAGCTAGTATTTATAGTGCACATTTTCCTGGTTTTTAGGGTAACATTTTATGGGACATTTTTAAAACAAAACTTGCCAAAAGTATATTTTTGGTATACATGTGTGTGCATTTCAAATAAATAAATAAAATTATGTCATGATTTTTACGTTGTAAGTACAATTAATAAAACCTATTAAAATATTATAATGAACTTCCAATTTTAATATACTACCGTAGTAACTGTTTGTGCATGTGGGATATTTCTTTTTTATTTTCATACAATTATTTCAATCATTTGTACAACTGAGATTTAAAAAATGTTAGTGTTTTAGTAAAGTCTGGTTGAATGCATGGTCATAGTCATGTATAATTTTGTAACCTGATTTAATTATAATTTCTCAAAATAAGAAAAAATATATTAACACTTTAAGACTTAGCCGTTAGATGTTCTTCAAAGATGGCGATTCAACTTTTACAGTCGAGTCGCCGTGTCAAGACTTTCTCGGAGGTTATCCTTCATTTACATCGTCTGTTTTTTCAGAACACATGCAAAAAATGACTTTTTTTTCGGGAAACACTATAGAAAATATTTTATGATGAAACATGTTTTTACAAGATATTATTAAAGCATATAAATGAAACATCTGTACTCGATGACTTCTTTAAGGAAAACACTGTTAACATGGCATATGAACCAAACAATGTTTCATTTGATATTAAAGAAGATAAAATACTTTGCTTTGTCCAGCATTAAATGACATGCATGAACTCTGCAGTCTACAGTAACCTTCACACCGTGTCATGACGTCGCATTAGTTAATTGCGCACCTGCTGTGCGCTCCTTCCGTTTCTGAATACATCGAAGATGATATCAATGACATAATGGACACGGCTAATTACCGTGTTAGACTGCCTTATCACAGAACAATGTGTTACCGGAACTTGGGGACAAGGCTTTTCACAGATTCGTCATTTGTATTTATGGTCTTGGTTTGACATTGATCTCATTAGGTGATATCTTTTAAAAGATTAACTGTCATCTTTGGATTTGATAATGACAAAAAAAGGGGTAGAGAAAGACAGAGTGATTCTTTCTATTCAGAAAAGGAAAGAGGGAAACATATTCAAACATGCTTGTATATTTACTTACTGCATTTTTAAAATAACATACCGAGTTCTTCATATCTTTCGTCGAGTTTCTTCACATTGGTGAAGTTTAAAACTGAATTATTAATATCAATAACTTTTTTGAAATAATTATATCATTTTAAAAGAATTTTTTTTATTCAAGTATGAAATTCTTTAAAGTATTATAATATAATATAATATAATATAATATAATATAATATAATATAATGTTATATAATTAAATATATGTAATGTAATAATTTATAAGTAATGAAAAACATGTATTCGGTTTTTAGTAAGACAAGGGCATTTGACAAACGGAAACATACGGTAACAAGTTAAATACCATTTATATGGAAAAGTTAGTATTGGATGCAATCTAATTTCCATTAACATAATAATGAAGGCGTATCCGTGATATTCGAGTCGTTTCCGACTCATGATTTTAGACAATACCTTTCACATCAGTGATGCTGTTAGCGTGCAATTAGGGGGAGGATTTGGTTTGGAGACCGTCAGATCAACAGTGACATCATTAAATTACCGGGCGCTACCAGATGGCACAAAGAACTTTAAAAGACTGCAGTTTGAAATGAAAATATTAGCATTCCAATCCAAGCGTGAGATTATGTGGTCTCTGGTTTGTATTGCCCGCTAGGTGTCACTGGAGGGCGGGTAATGATAGCCTTGATGTGACATAACGAGAGCCGTGATAGTGTCCCCAGTAATGTAACGAGTTAGAATTATATATATTTCTTATGGACATTAAATTTAATTAAAAATCATGAACACATATAAACATCCAATCTAAGAATTAAATGAATTCAATATATCTGTGAATCAAAAAAAAGCATTTGAACATTGTACAGGAAGAAAAACTGAAACTGAAGAAAATGACATTATACCTGACTTCAATAAATCACAGTATGGGATACGTGTTACTTGTAAAGGATTTCCACACCTCAAAATTAGGAAATAATGTATCATTAATAATGAATATACATAGCACTATAACATTCATAGGCGTCGAAACTGGGGGTAGGGTTTGGACATTTATGACCTCTTAACTTTTTTTACTATACAGTAAAACATGTTCGAAACACTTTCTTCCTCCGAAAAGATTTTGAATAAAAACCTTGTTATTTTAATATATATAGAAATGGATTTGCATTTCTTCTTTACTTTCGGTTTTCTCTCCATTTTTTCTGGTGATAGAATTTCTATTACGGTTTACCTGGTAGTTTGCATTAATGTACCACTGACTCTACACGTGTACTTTTTAAGCTGTGTACTCAAATGTATTTTAACGATTAATTTTCTTTTTAAGTGTACAGAGATCTCGGCAATGTTAAATTCGTATCATATTGATGAAATTCGATGAAAAGCATGATAAAATGAAGAAAAAAAAATGAAGATTTTACAAAGATTCCACAAGTTCAAGTTGTGCGTTTTGTACAAAATGGGTTATCTCTCTTCTTATATCAAAGACTAAATATATATATCCTATTCTTTGCAATGCTAGTGAACTTTGGCTGAGTTTATATTAAAGTGATTTAGCGCCAGTCATTCCCACCAATTTCTGCTTAAAATAAAATTTAAAAAATAAAAAAAAGTGCGAGTGAAGATTTTATATTTGCATATAGTACTTATAAATATGCTATCATATAGAAATAATATATTGATATAATAATTAAATATATGTCTATCTACAATATCACATTAACACTGTCTTTTCTTTTTCACATAAATGTTAATCCACTTTGTTGATAGGGATTCGACAACGGGTGCACGTGATGACGATGATGGTGAGGGCTGGGTTGAACGTGAGGAAGCGCCCCAAACACCCCCGCACTCCAAAGTCCCGAGGGATGGTCTCGTGCGTCTTGATGTGGAATCGGGCGGTTGTCCTCTTTCTTTGTCGGTTTCTCCAAGAGCGACTCCACGGAAAAACTAAGTTTTGGTTTCTCCGCCGTTTTCTGCAAATTTTGAACATCGGGAATTTCTGCAAGAGGCACAGGGTATTCTGGGATTCCTGAGTGGTTGATATTCGAATGCGATGCTGGAAGTATGTCGTATATTTGTCGGCGGGGGGATTTTGTCTGATAAGGCGAATATCTTAACTTTGGAAACATTTCAGTCCGGGAGTAGGGTTTTCGAATTCTATGCTGATCCTCCATCTCCATTCTCGATAGTCTTGAAATATCGTTTAATGTCGCATTCTGTTGTCCTTTACTTGACAGATCGTTCACCATTTTCTTCAGTTCCTCTAGTGATTTGGTAAGAGCCATGACATAATTTCTTGCCAAAAGAAGTGTTGACAGTTTTGATAATTTCTTCACCGTTGGACCATTAGAATAAGGTAGCACTTGTCTCAAACTGTCCAGTGCCGCGTTCAAGTTGTGCATTCTCTCTCGTTCCCGACTGTTTACTCTAAGACGAATATCTTCAGGGACCCGAGATTTTGACGGCGGTGTCTGAAAACTGGAATTAATAGAAGAGTCCGCAGATAAGTCCAAATCACAAATCCCGCTGTCATCAGCCTCAACATCTTCAATCTGGTCCACATTGACTTCGAAATCTTCTATGCTCTCCATGTTTTTTTCTCTCTCTCTCTGTATTGTCACTTGTAGAAAGCTTTAGGATTGATGGTGGTCACGGCATCCACACCCCCTTTTATTTGCTCTTTGATACCCAGGGATTTCAGTGACCACTCATGTGTGTTGGTCAGGTTCTTTCCACCCGATTGAGTCTTGGTTTGGTATGAAATCAGACCGGTCATCTTTCCTCACGCGGTGATAATTGCGCCGCCTCGCGGCAAATCTTGCAGCTTCCATGTTGACATGTTAAAATACATGTGCAATCTAAAACCAGATAATGTTTCTTTTTTTGTTGGCTTTTAGAAAGACTGCTTTTTTAACGCTCAGTTAAGTTGACACGGACACAATCTGTTACTATTTAACGGAAATATGATTTGACTTTTTTAAAATAAAAAAAGTGCAATATGCCTATGAGAAAAAGTGTGAATTTTAGAAAATAAAAAGTCAAGAAAAATATATGATAAATTGGAGGATTAATTTACAACAATATTTGAGAAACTGGTTTTACACCCCATGTTAATGTAGAACACAAATTCATGATAATAAACAAGGCATTAATATCAAAGACATGTATATGTTGTATATAAATTGAGTGCATGCGCACCTCATCTATATTTACGACAATTTGTGGTTAGTGGGTCCCTCATTATAATCAATATGATGGATTTATTTACATTTTTCTGTTTGTTTTCTTTGTTAAGAATAGAATTCCTTTTAATTTCATGAAATTGTCATATAAATTAGTCTAGAATTGAACGAATCTGAATATATTCAACAATTTCAAAGTTTTCAATATTTATGTGACATAAAAAATCCATCACTTGAAATTTCGACTTGTATCTTTTTTTATGTAAGTTATTGTCATTTTAATTCAGATGAGAGTTTGTCAAGATTTCTGAAGGAAATGTCAGTCAATTAATATATGTGGTATTTTTATAGCATGAAATAAGTTCAGTTCGCTGATTTCAAAGAAATGATAGAATAAATGGTAAAACAAAGTGGAATATATATATTTTTAATTGCCTGTAACTTTCAATATAATAATCAAAGGAAACTTTTTTTTCCGAAATTTCAAAACACTTTTTTAAAAAATGTTTGACCCCCCCCCCCGCCCTCTTTCAGGGAAGGGGGTTTAGATCAACCTCCTATCCAAGTAGGAAAGGGGTTATTTTTTTTTTTATTTCTAATTGAAGTCAAAGAAAAAAATTAATTTAAAAAATATTGCAATAAAAAGTCAACATATTAATTGTTGATTTTTTAAAAAGATCTCAAGTTAGTCAAGGAAGCTTGTTTTTGCCTAGAACCGACACTTTCTAGTTTTTTTTTTTTTTTTTCTGTACCTGTGATTATAAACCAGGTACTATGGAATGCCATATACGACAGCCAACTACTGACTGCTTACTGCCAACTGTCAGCTGCTTATTGCCAACTGCCACACATGTTTGAATAAATTTTATTTTTATATTGATATATATGTAAATTTAAAAAAAGAGGCGCGGATCTATAGGAATTTTTTTCCAAGAGGGTCACTCTGAAAAAAAAAAAATCCAAACCAGAAATTTCTTGACAAGAAAAAAATACGTAAAGTCCTTTCCTAAATGTGAAAATTTAAGGGAATGCGTCATACCTTCATGTGTATGACATTTTTCATACCAACTTAACGCGAATCCACATTTTCGGTTGGGGATGGGGAGGGGGGTTCTAAGGTCCCTTTTAGTTGATTTATTTTATACATTAAATATATTTTAGTTGGTTTAGTTTGTGCATTAAATAACTTTACAAATTTTAGAGGGGTGTTCCGGACCCCTCTCTCTAGATCTATGCATGTAAAACATATTCTATTTGTACAAACAAAGAGATAAAAATGTTTTATCGGCGTTTTCTAAGTGGAGGGTCCAAGGTCAGTTATACCGGTAGTTCGTTTAGTTTATTTAACGTATGACTGTACAAATTTTAAATGCCCCCCTATATGCACGTGAAACATTACAGGGACGTAGCAACAGCTAGCCCCCCTTTTTTTCCCAACATTACCTTTACTGTTGAAAATGCATATTGAAAGTATGGTTGCCCCCCTCCCCACTTCTTACCATAGTATAATGATATCAAAGATATGTAGTATTGTGTGGAAAAAATGTAAGTGAAAGGTAGTTGGCCTTAAAAAAAAGTTAGAAGTTAGCCACCTAACCCCCCCCCCCCCCCCACGAAATAGGATTTTCGAGTTTGGGGTATTTCCTTTTTTTCCTTTTTTTTTTTTTTTTTGGCTTGTCAACTTTTTCAGGTAAGTAAAAAAAATTTTCTCTGGTTGCCCCCCCCCCCCCTCACTTTCAAAAACGATGCTACATGCCTGCATTATAACACACAGAGAGATATACATCTTTAATTTGAGGAAATTTTTAACTATAGAATATAATGGAAAACGGAAATTTATTTTCAAAACATATTTCTCTACGAAACGGCAAATCTTTTTTATTATTATTCGCTCTTCAAAGGTTTTGTTGTCTCCGGTGGAAGGGGGGGGGGGTCTTCTTTAAAGATTAAAAGCAGAAAATAGTCATTTTATTACCTATTTCAAATAGGAAAACAAATAAAAAAAATAAACAATGTACTTTATCAACCGCATATATTGAATATTACATAAGATAAAACATATTGGTCATTTTATTCAATTCAATTTTACCAGGGTGACCCCCTTGGAAAAAATTTCCTGGATCCGTGCCTTTTTTTCCCTTTTTTGTGAAAATTCATATAAATATCAATACAAATATAAAATTTATTCAAATATGTGTGGCAGTTGGCAGTAAGCAGCTGACAGTTGGCAGTAAGCAGTCAGCAGTTGGCAGTAAGCAGTTGGCTGTCGTATATGGCATTCCATAAGGTACTGATTAATTTTTCTGTTCAAAAAATTGTCTTACATTTAGTCATTTTCTGTAGGATGTCGTTATTATAATGAGGCGTACGCGTGAGACATTCTGAAACTTACACAAAAATTAATTGTACATACATGTATGTATGCCAGAGAATATCATTAGATCAACAAGATAAAATATTAGGATATTTTTATTCAGTTGAATAGGCTGATGAATTTATTATGCCACTATTTTAATTAAAAACCCCGTGGTTGGTTCTGATAAAATTGTTTTTTCTTCGTCATTGTACATCTATGTCTTAATTCAACAGTAAACTGCAGACACAACACCGGTAGGCGACACAAATCTAAACATATTGTTAACTAAGAGTTTATTTTTATTTATTTATTTTGTGTTGTATTGAAAATATCTAACAAATTTGTTTTATAATTAATTCATTATTTTCAATATCATTTATTTGACTAACACATTTTTTTCATTCATTTACATTTAGCTAGGTTGAAGAAAGATAACCTATGGGTACATCTTGCAATGTGTTAAAGACTATGAATTCTGCAATTGTCCTATTGGCATTATATATTTTGGACGATTGACTGAAGCAAAAGGCCGCGGGTTGTCCCGTTATTTAGGTGTCACTGGAAAAGTGTTCCGTGATGGATTTCTTGTAAAACATGTTTTTATTCCGTAATTTCTCACATTTGAACATACTGGCACTTTCCATGCAGGTATCAATTTAAAGGGTGGGGATGCATGGGGTCTGTTTATCTCATTTGAATTAATTATTTGAACAAATTAATGCCATATTTACACATTTAATCGAAATTAATCATGATTTTAAGGATTGGAATTATATTTTGCATTTTTTTTTTGATAAGGCTGCAAATTTGTTTTATTTGTATATAAGATATTGAAAAATTAAAACAAAGGTCTTGTATATTTGAATAAAAAAAAATTCTTCGAGAAAAGGGATATATTTTTACAACAAATTCAATGCAAACGGTATGCTTTAGAACGCTAAAAAATATTAATTTAATACACAGGTATTAATCTCAAAATGACTTTTTATCGAGAGAACTTGATTGCGTTTTTTTTCTGGTTCTCATTGTTTATTCACATTTTTAATAGTCTTCAAGAAGAGAGGTTTACTTACGCATGTTTACTTTTTATGGAATATTTGTGTCAAGGTTTTGTTTTCAGAAGTTGGTCTTGGTTATCACATTGAATGTATACATGTATTTATTGTATACAATTTATTTTCTGTGGATCGGAATTCAGTGAATTCAGATGGTGCACAAACAATTAAAAATCAGGTAGATTTCCTTTCTCAAAGATAATAAAAATGTATTTATTTTGGAGAGAAAAAATTCTCCCCAGATCATTAATTATCATATTATGAATTTTATATACTACTTTATTGGGGACAATGACACATTTTATGCATAAATTAAAATGATCATCTTATAATATTTCGGTGGACTTATATGAGTTTAATAACCTACATACCCCAACCAGTATACAATTAAGTATATTTAATATTTAAGACATTCATCATCTATAAGTACAAAATACACTATCTCGCTTAAACTAGGCAATCCAATCCTCGGAAAGGGATCGAGGAGCCAACTTTTTCTGTAATTAGCTTTTGATGAAGTCTTTCTGTGTAATTTTTCAGTTGGAGGGAGCCTGCTTCACCTCAATTTCTTATGCTGTACGATCGAAAACTGGCAAATTCGAGTTTTTTGAAACAGAAATTGTGAAAGCCCCCCCCCCTTTTCGACATCATATGATTGTAATTTGGCGTTTTACTTTTTTTTTTCTTCTATATTTTTTAAGTAAGATTATCTTCCTTTTTAAAAAATGATGATGCAGACACCTGTAATATGTGCTTTCAACGCCATGTAATAAGTAAATGTATTTACAACCATACAACGCCAACAAAATTGTCCGTAAGCATTTGAAGTACAAGAAAAAAAAGATAGCGAGGAAATCGTTTTTAAGGTCCAAAATTTAAAAATTTGAAAGCATAACAGATGACTTCAATGTACACTTTTAGAAACTCTGTATTTCCATGAAGTCTTTATGCGTACTAGTATGAAAAAAATATTTTCTTCTAGACTTGTTTTTGTGACCCACTTATTTTTCTTAAACACAATATTTATACATGCAAATTTTTGTATGTGGTACATGTAAACTACTTCTTCAAACCAATCCAAACGTTAAATTCGTGACTGTTACTTGAAATTTCATTATTGTGGTTTTGCCTCACATATTAGCATTTTTTATTTGTAATCTTTTTGATATTTAGTTCGGATCCTAATTTTTTTTTAGTATATCTTTTTAACAATTTGGTTTTGGGGAAAATGTGCCAATTTCTAATGAACTGAAACATACATGTGCAGTATGTTTCTATTGCTAGTACCGTATAAATTGTAAATACGTACCATTGTGCAATGTTTTTTGTAAACAGTGCATTCTTTTGTCTATACTTATGCGCAGATGACGGATGTATAATTTACAAAAACAAATATATCCTAATTTATTCATGTTATTCAAAAAATAAATTGATCTACGAATTTAAATAAAACATTTAAAATTGTTTTGTGGATATTTATATTCATATATGCAGTAAAAAAGCCTTGGGCTGTAAGGAAATTATTCAAAGTATATTTCCTGCAGACAGAATCAGTAAAAAGTATTATAAAGCATCCGATGCAATATAGATTGATTATAGGGTATTTATAAGTCAAAACTATTTCGCCTCAAATTATTTACGACACCATTAAAAAAATTTAAGGTTCGGTAGACCTTCTGACAGGAGAGATAACTCTTACATGAATAAATGACTATGAAATTGTCGAGTTTAAGACTACTCATGTCGAATTTGCTTTAGTTCATTATATTTGTAGCTTTTTGTGGGTTTTAGTTATCAATTTCTGAATTAGATTTCTTCTAGAAAAATCAACAGCAATGTAGCAATTTTTTGACGAATTTAAAGAGGAAAGATGACCCCCAACGTCTATTGGAAAGAGAAAAAAATGTCGAAAGAAAGGAGCCTCGATTTTACTCTTCCATGCACATATAGACTCGTCTTATAAAAATTGCTTCGATGAACATATCATACTTTATTCAAATGTTTCAAATTTTCTCTCATTAGAAGCCCTAGGCAGTTCCCAGACTGTGATCTATATCTGTGTAAACTTGGAAACCAAATAAATGATTATAAATCACTTTTCTTGGGTCAGAATGCAAACATGATTGAGCGATGCACGTGGAAATAAAACATGTTCTTTGTCTTTACTAAATGACAAACATCTGATAAGAATCGTTTACAATTAAAGACTCTTTACAGTTCAGTTACTAGTATCAAAATGTAGTTTGATCGATCATTGAGTGAAAGAGTATGCATGAAGGTTTCAATTTTCTAGCTACAATGGAACTTAACTAAAGCTTTTCCATTATTCTCTTAACATTTTCTTCCTTTGTTGATTGTAAATCTGCAGTTACAAGAAACACCTCTTAATTTCAAATTATCAGTAAAATTGACGCAAGGTTGATAACATATGTATGACGTCATACGTGTATCAAGTGCTAATGCAACTAGGCTTTCTTTTTCTATGCATCCATAGCTCAAGTTTTTCTCTTTCTCAAGAAATATTTATGGTGACCTCCAAATAATGTTTGCTGTCAAGGAAGAAAAATATACAATGCATTTCTTTAAGTTTGTTAATTTATTTACAATTATTCATTCATAAATGTATACTTATAGAATGAAAAAAAGCACTGATTTTTACATAAACATGTCGTTCTCAGCATTAAAACACTGGTATAAGCACTATAAATCACTTTCTTTATCGTTCATAACAGAATTATCACAAAAGTTTTCACTTTTGTTTGATGACAGTCCGAGTAATGACTCGACAGAAAACTTGAGAACAGGCTTTGCTGGTGATGAGTTCTGGTTCTTGGTCGGAGTGAAGAAACCGGAAGCTGCATGGACGACTTCCGGGACATCTCTTCTGATCGGATCTAAAGGTGCCGTCATGTATTGAGATAAAGATGAATTTGTCCTGTCGCCCAGCGGCAAGCTCAAGAAATCTAGCCTTCCAAAACTAAACGAGTCATTTACGTTTTCTTTGAGTTTATAAGGGTCCGTGTTTTCTTTTCTTTTAATTGTGGATTCCTGAAGCTTTAAGAGTAGTGGTAAGGTATTTGCTCCCTGAGTTGGTGGTGTTTGGAAATCTCCCAGTCCGGATTTAATTGGTGTCGATGTATACGGCGAGTACCTTGGTCCTGCGGGAACGAAAGCACTGGAATGGTTTAAATACTTTGATCCTCTCCTTTCTTCGTGATCGTAGAATTCACCATGTAGATCTATCTTTGACAAGGAATTAACCATGGTTTTCATTTCTTCTATGGAGCGAGACAGCGATATGATGTGACTCCTTGCATGTACAAGTGTAGACAGCTTAGACAATTTCTTCCTGGATGGTCCATTAGAGTGGGGTAACACTCGCCTCAATTCATCTAGAGCATCATTGAGTTCATGCATCCGTTGTCGTTCTCTGTTATTGATGCGCAGGCGCACTTCGTCGGGCACTCGGGGTCGAGACTCTGAAGAGTTGAATGAAGCAGTCAAATCAAAAGAGGAGTTTACGTCATAAACACCACTATCTTCAGTTTCCTCAATCTTGATGGCTTTCATCTCGGTTTCGTTGAGAGCCATTTTAGAAGTTTTAGGATATGCGATCGTTTTACTGAATTATGGTGAAATCAGTGAAATCCTGAAGGGTAGATACAGATAGATGCACCGAGTACCATTTTTATACCCAGGACATGCATTTTCACACCTTCCCTTTCCACCCAGGTATTGGTCAGACTATGTTATGGTTACCTGCGCTCTGTCAAAATTTTCATTGACCGGAATAATTGCAGGAAATGCCCCAGGACTACATGAAAATCAAACAAACGATTTTTTTTTAAATAAAACGAATTTTTTAAAGATTTATTTCTAAGCAAAGCCTGTGTTATGCTTTAAATGAAACCTCTTATACTAAATTAAATGAATTAAATTCATAGAATATTCAATTTTATACATGTAGTCTTGATTCATTTCAACACAAACGTGCCATGAAATAAACAAAAAAGCATAAATACTAATCCGAAGTACATTGTCCCTGTGTGTATGTTTTGAATTAGTTTACATGTAATAAAATATATGATATAAAAATTAAAAAAAAAAACACTGCATATAAATTTCATAAAGTTATATAGAATCTAGAACACCATTTGTCGCGTTGAATGCTTAGATGTATGAGCTTTTTATTTTTCAAGATTTTTACCGACTAAAATGTAAATGAATTCACGCGTGATGATTTATGAATTGCGTTTGTTGAAAGAAATGCATAATTATTCAGTAAACCTCTTCCAATCTTACGTAATTTGGAAGAGATGTTTTTACTCCAACAGCCAAAAAAACAAGTGACTGAATATTAATCAAATATCAAAACATAAGATCATGCGTTATAAGCACATGTATCAAATAATTAGTTAACTGCGCAATGTACCTTGAGAAAATGATTTAGCATCATAATAAATCAAGGCTTCAGATAATACATGATTTATATTTTTTCCTTCTTTGTTTTGTGTGTGAATCTCTGATATAATGAACACGGATTAAATGTATATATTTTACTTGAAATTGTGTTCAGAATACATTCTTCCTAATTTGTTAATAATATGTAGTTAAATTAATCTATTTCCTTCAATACTTGAGAATAAAATGTTTCTTATTACCAAAAAAGGCCTATCAAATTGTGCTTATCTATATAAAAAAAAGTAAAGTTATGCACTACAAATGTCTCAATAAATAAATACATGTAAATGAATAAATCAATGTGTTTTCAAGCATGCTTATGTCTGTTGCTTTTAACTTTTTATTCTCTCTCTCTCTCTCTCTCTCTCTCTCTCTCTCTCTCTCTCTCTCTCTCTCTAAGAGAGTTTTAATGTCATAATAGAGAGGTTTTTAAAACAATAAACAAATTATAGTCATATTTGCAAACAGATTATAGTTTACAAGTGTTTACAAGACATCGGGTTTTACAAGATACAAGCTTTTTTATGGATGTTAAACTGAATTTCTGGAAAAGTGTTGACAGTATATTTAATTACATGTATCAAGCAGTTATACACTGGTTAACGTGTTTTACAAGATGTTAAGTTTGCTATTCAGAGAAATTGCATGTCCGTAATATTTTTCCCGAGGCCGTAGGTCGAGGAAAATGGATGCTGAATTACTTCAAATAATTGTTAGCACACATATGACAGGACAGGTTGTGTGAGTGTGATTATTCAAATCAAAAAGCCTTTAGCTTGAAATTATCGGTACCCAATATTCGCCGTTTGAATATTATTTCAATTAATCTGGAAAGTTCAACGGCCTTTTCAGGATTGTTTGTTGACATAAATGTACATGTACATTCAAATATTTATAAAGAGTTTACATAGCTGTCATGTATATTTGAAACGACATTTATTAGAATTAAAATTGAATTCGAATTTGAAGATTTTTTTGTCTTAAACATATATTTATAAACCTTTTATGAATTTTAAAAACTTTTTTTTAACATATTTAATTTATAAACTTTTCATAATCTTTTTTTTTTTCTACTTTATATGTTTAGATACAGATTAGATATATGTATTCACGTGTAAATGGTCATTCAACAAGGTTTTGCATCTACATGTAACATGTTATCAAATTGATTTCATGTCCAGGGGTTAACTCTTTTTTCCTTGAAAAGTTCAAAATTTTGCACATACACCGTTTACACGAACGGGCGCCAGGTAATGATAAATGTATATACTGTACACATGAAAGCATTGATTATGCGCAAGGTCTGTTCTCTCGATAAGTGTATTCACCTGTATTCAGAACTTGTATTTATTTATTTTGGGGAAAAATGTATTCTTGAAAAAAAAGCAAACATCTCTTAATAGTAAACACTTGTGTAAATGATTAACTCAAAACAAACTCTGTATTTTATGATAAAAATATTGGATAAAAGAAAAATGCTTATATTGGTTTTTTTTTTTTAATCAGATTTTATTAGGCCACTTTGATTTTAGGGAAAAAAAATGTAAAATAAATTTTTGACGATTTACCGGATGCAGTAATTATCATGATTATGAAGGCGACAAAAACTGCCCCTGGTTCCGGATACCGCGTTGATAAATATCTATAATGATTGTCAATTAGTGTTTTGCCCGAGTAATTAAGAATTCCTATCGTCTATATTTCAAATCCCGACACACCGCTGCAGAAGTCGACAGTTCTGAAAAAGCTTTAAGTTCTTTAAAAATACATTTCAAATATGTTGAAACCAAAGTTTTTAGACTACGTACATGTATCTCTGACATAATTGACATTAAAACACAATCCTCCTGATTTTACAAGAATTTCTACATATGTCTCAGTGCTCCAATAATGTCATTTCACATAATTGACATCCAAATATTTATAGGAAAATATACAAAATGGTATAGATGAAGTAGAGTTTTTTAGATACTGCGCATAAGGAACACTTTTTCAAAAATGCACAACTTTGGATTTTTTCCTGATTAATCATTGTGTGACACTTGTTTAAACCACGTCGATCAAGAAGAAGAAGAAGAATATTTTGCATTTATTCTTGTCATTGCTAGCAAGGGACTGTAATGACTTTCGTGTATCTGATGAGAATGCAAAAGACAGTTGTGTAGTTTAACCTTTACTGATAATTAACTTTTTTCATAAAAAAAATCATAAATAGACAGTGCAAAGAAAGACGGAGAAAGGTTATTTCCTTGACAAATTCTGAAGGTGAAACCAAACCAACTTGAACCTTCCCTTAGGTAGCACTGAGCTCACAATATGCTCAAAATATGTGTCCAATCCAAACATCAGTAAGAAAAAGGGCACTATGTGATGAAGCAGTCTCCTTAATTTTTATTGAGTGCTATAGAAAGAATAAAGTAAGTATCCTTGATGTTAAAAGCAAACGACAACGTCAACGTTTTACTGGTGGAAACCCAGCGTATTAGCATGATTAATACGTAAAATAGGAGGTGCAACATGGAACTATGTACCAATCTCGCTTGAACACTGTTTTCAAGAAAGATTGAAAAATCAATATCAAATGGAAAGTGCATAAGCAATGAAATCAAATGTAATTACCCCAATAAAATTTCAAATGCATAGTTTACGTGAACAACCGCATGTATGATCACCTCATGAATGACCAACTACTAGTATTCTACTGTGTTAAAAAAATTGGAACTGAAAAAAAAAGAAATTGATACATTTACACGATCAGTATATACTGATCTCTGCTGTCAAAACAGGGCTTTAAAAATATTGTCTTTATAAGCTCAATATTTTAAATTGTACCCGGTATTTTAGAGGAAATGGATTAATCTAATTCCACAAGTGGGTAACCTAACTTATACACATGAACCCATAGCTCCTGTTCTAAGAAGGAAATTCTTCAAAATCACCCATCAGTTTTAAATATTTTTAATATTCCCAACAACCAAAATGGATTTGAATTACCTTATCTATATTTGATTCCGAAACATCGTAAAAATCCTTATAAGGATACAAATTTAACCGGTTCCAGTAAATGTTCTACCAAGTCTACTTCTTTACTCCAAACTAAAATATTTAAAGTAGTGAAGGGTAATCTATGCAAGATACATTTATATTCTAAAAGTGGTGTCAATCAGATGTGGATACTTAAAATTCCAAGGAACTCTTGGAAAATTTAAAATCTCAAAATTTTACCAAATCAGCAACACAAAAAAAACTTACGACTTTTCAACTTTATATACAACCAATCCCCACGATAAATTGAAGACCAGGGTTTTTGTGCGGAAATTGTGCAAACTCTTACGCGTGAAAAGAAGAAAACACTTACTGTGGCCTTCAACTCGACAATTAGATATATCGAGGACGTACTGTCAATCAACAATAGCAATTTCCAATTTTCTTTCATATTTGGATATTTTACTTGAAAAAGACGTTAATGGTGATATAACAACCAAGCTCTATGATAAATGTAATGACTTTAACTTTTCTATCGTCAAATTCCCTCACTTATGCAGCAATATACCTTCGTCACCTGCATTTTGAGTTTATATATCTCAGTTAGTTCGATACGCATTATATAAAAAAAGTAAAAAGTAAAAAAATTATAACACATAATTAAACTGTTGTCATTTAACTTATTAATATCTATTTATGAACAATTTCTAAAACGAGGTAAATTGCTGACAAACAAGTTGATGAAACAAGAATATCAGTCGTCTCGTTTAAAGTCAATATTTCGTAAGTTCTATCGTCGATACAATGACCTTGTCAGCAAGGACAATTTGTCATTGAGTCAAAGCTGACTGACGTTTTTCATATTCATTGTTACTCCATTATTCAAACACTGAATTGACGACGAATTTTCCCGTTATTTCCCGCGATCATGATAACGAGCACACGGCGGGTGTGACCGGTCTGCAGGGGATGCTCCTCCATGGCACCTGATTCCACTCCTTATGTTTTGGAGGTCCGTGTTTGTTCTGCTCCTGCTTTGTATCATTTTATGGACTTTATATATATCTTGAATACTGTTCGTCACCTCCATACTTTTCATCACTTACATCTGCTTTGTTAATAAAAATAGAACTCGTTAATTTACATAATTTTTCATTGGTCATTTGCAAAATTATTACGTTTAAAACATACTGGTTGTTCACACATGTATTCTGGGGTTAATATAATTTCTAACTGACAAAATCAATGTGGCATTTGGAAAACAGTCTTCCAACAATCTATTGAAATTCTTGGTACCAATTGAGACCCGTTACAATTATTAGCAGACACGATTTGTATTTACATGGAGAAGAATTTGTTCAAAATCGTATACGTAAAAATAAGAAAACACTTGCTGTCGCCCTTAACTCGACGTTTAGAAACATCGACGACGTTTTGTCGATTAAAAGTGGTCATTTATATTCTTATTTCCATACGATATATCTTGGTGGGCTGGAAATAAAAGATAGCACAGACTCTGACACATCTGTTTTATATTTGAATACTTTACTAGAAAAAGGAAGTTAGTTGAAATCTAACAACCAAACTTTATTAAAAACGTGATGACGTTTAACTTTTCAATTAAAATAAACTCTCCTTTTGCAGCAGTATACCTTTCTCCCCTGCATACGGAGTATATATATCTCTCAAATACGGTTCGATACGCAAGGGTATGTTTACCTATGAACAATTTCTGCAACGGATTTTTCCATTGAATCGTTAAATTCCAATCATGACAAGGAGCACTCCGTGGATGTGACCGACAGGGGAAGTTCTGAAACCCATTGCTATTTTTTTTTAACATTATTTGCGTATCGGAATACATGTAAAGTATACGAGTATATCATTGAGTCTTTGAAACAAACATTTTGATATAGTGAGCATGAGAAGATTATAAACAGAATGCCATAAATTTCTACTTTTTTTTAAATTCATGTCAAATTTATTGTCCCCGAAGAATGACAATGTACCTTTCGTAGTTGTTGTTTGCTCTTTGCTCAGCTGAAGGTACAGTGATGTCTGTCTGGAATTAAAAAAAAAGTTTTGCATGTATATTTAACTGTAATTTTTTTTTATTTCCTTTGATACGACTTAATTATTTTGGTCTGCAATGTTAACATTGGATTTAACCGTTCAGAGGTACAGTGTATATCAAAATGACAGAGAATATTCCGTAAGTACTTGAAACAATATTTTTTCAGTAAACAGAGTTAATAAATTTGGCAGCAAAAGTGTTTGCATTTTTATGCATTGTATCTGTCATTTTTGATAAATGCAAAGTTGACAACAAATCGTTATGAGGACAGGAACTCCAGAGCAGATTTTGTCATCTTGCAATGATGCAAGATGGGAATAAGACCGAGTAGTGAGAGCGCTATTGGACACTCTAGAGAAAGGACGATGAAGAAAGAATTGGGTACAACGAGAGAACTGAGATAAAAAAAATATCATCTACATGTAATTTGTTAAAGAAGGTGAAACACCAGGAGACCCCAAAAATGAGCATTTATCCTCGACTTAACAGCTTCCTGAGGGATGCAGACGGAACTTGACTGGTTTTTCCAAACATTATACAAACTTTTGCACCAACATCTTTCTATGGCCACTGGTTGAGTTTAACTGTACCATAAGAAGGAGGGATTGAGAACACGCATCAGAGAAAGAAAACAGAATACTAATATCTAACAGAGAGGTTCACAGTTAAGGATAAAGCGTACGGAAGTATTTCCAGTAAAAATTTGCTCTTCAGATGATTTTCTGTACAATTATTTTGACAGCTACATTTAGCTCTTGGAATCAAAAGGAAAGACAGAACAAAAGATCAAGAATACAAAGACTTCTTAACACAGCGGAATAGTCATCTTGCTGATTATGGTTGAGAAGAACTTGAAGCTGTCGACGGGGAAGTGATCTGGCAAACCCCTGCTGACTTCCTATCTTCCGACTTTGAGAACGGTCCGGGTTAGTTGTCGGAACGAACGACCATGTTTGGACTTGGCTGATGACGTATATGGATCCAACTGATGTACAGCATGTTGATTATTTTACATGTAGGTATCTTATTATTCCATAGTCAAATTTTGTGAGTTCTGAGGAAAAAGAATGTTAATGCAAAAGAGCCGGATAATGAAAAAATGTAAAAATAAAATATACTGTACCTCATTTGTCTATGAATGTCAATTATTTCGTCATCCTCTGATTGCAACTGTATATATTCTACGTTCACATTTAGTTCCGGTAATTATTTAAAAAAATTGAATAACTATGAAAAAAATTATACCTGCCAAACTTACAGAAAATGTAAGTTCAAAAAATTTTGGGCTAAAATTACCAGCATTAACATGGAATGACATTTTTAATTTAAATATCAAAATCAAATCCCCTGTCTTCGCTAGAATAATATCTTACAGTCGTTTGAAAAGTATATTTAGGAAATATGGCTAAAATCCTATAACCGCCATGTTTGAGGGCATCTGTGTAACACAACGAAAATAATGTGAATATTAAGATAGAGCAGGTATTGTCCTAATTAGTTTCAATGGTAATTTGCATAAAATTTCACGGTCAAATTAGACAGAGACAATGTTTCCTCTATCTATCAGAAACCCATTATAATCACATGAAAGTCATTAACCTAAAAGAAGTCGGCCTCATTTCTCTATGCAATTCTTGTTGTTTTACGTATGACAATGCGTCATCGTTAACCACGTGTTTCTGATCTTTTCTTCTCCGCCAATTACTACTTGATATACCAGTAAATAAATTTTAATGTAATCAAAAAAATATTTTGTAAGAATACCATTACGATATGACATGAAAGGGTTATTTCTCAGGGTCATTATAAACTTGATATTTTCCCTTTTTGAGGCTTCATTTAGCTTGATTTCTTCAAAATGTTATGCGGAGATGCGAACAAATTGCATTGCAATTTTTCTTCTGTTTTAGCCTACACCCGCGTGGCACAGTGGTTTGAGCGTCTGCTCTAGAGTAGCGAAGTAAGGACTTGATCCTTACGTCGGATGAGACTATATAAACCGAGGTCCCGTGTCGCAGTAGGTGTAGCCACGAAAAAATCCCTCCCTGCTTAAAGGCCCTAAGTGCCGAGTATAGGATAAATTTTGTACCTCTCCATCGGCAAGTGGTAGCGTCTCCATATGAATGAAAAATTCTGGAGAGGGACGTTAAACAACATACAAACAAACAAATCTGTTTTCGCCTTCCAACTGATTTTGATCTATCTTTTACTTCATTTTGAAGTTAACAAATTTCAAAAATTCCCAGTTATACATGTAAAGATATTTATCGTTTTGTATTTTGATTTGAACTCATGAGAGCGATACACATCTTGGTATAATTGTCTGACTTTGACATAAGCTATAACCTTGAATTTACTTTTTCATCAGTTGGCTCTCCGACCATCACAACAGTCTGTTTCCAAAAAGATATCTCTACTTAAGTTGTCATTTGTAACAATAATGTCGTATTTCATAACAATGATTACCGTATATGAAAAACAAACTATTGAACATAAACATGATACAAACAATATATTTTTTAAATTTCTTATAAACAGATAACGTAAGCAAATAAAGCCATTTGATTCGGTATTTATGTGCTTTAAATCATAAAACCTTAGTCCAAAATTGTTATTTTAGTTGCAGTTCTGAATAAAATTTCATAAAGATAGTACTTTTTACTAATTCTAATAAATCCCTTGAAAACAGTGAACCCTTCCTCTATTTAATTAACTCCCAGCTTTACATTATAAAAAGATGGATAAGTACAATTTTGATAAAAACTGGTTCAGGAGAAAACTAAATTGTGGGGTGAAAATTACAGATTATCTGTATAATGGGAAATGTTTTGGCTCAGCTAATTTCAAAAATAAGATACATACAAAGATTTATTGCTATTTCGAATCTAATTTGCATAAACGTCACGACTAATTTGTTGAAAACGCAAATAAAATTACAGCACAATAAGTCAGGACATCGCGACATATCGTCATTCGCCAGTTAAACATGTTGAAGTTAACAGTTCTTTGTGTTTGTGTTGCAACAATTTATGGATATCCTAGCTTCCTATCCTATATTCCAAATGGGCACATGGTACCAAACCCTTGTCCGGGCTATGAAGGCACGTATTGGACTCTAGTGGGACACCGATTCCCAGTTCGTAGGCAATTCTTTCAAGAACAATCAGACATAAGAAAGAAACTTGTTGCCCAGGGATTGAACGCTATGGACATGAGTGTTTCGCTTCTGAACCTCTTCGGAGAGGTAAAGTATAATTTTCATCTTTTTATCTTATTTTTGTATTCACTCTGTGATCGGAAGGAGGCGGTTTTAAACCCTGGGTGCTACTGGCCTATATTGATAATAAAGGGTAGCAACTGTTCCTTCCTTAAGGTTTGGAACTTTATAGTGAAGTTGTTGGTTTTCTCGGATGAGACCTTAAAAACCGAGGCCTTGTATCAAGATAGGTATTGTAAGAAAAAGATTCCTCGTTGCTAAATTGTTTTGGGTGCCAAGTTAAGATTTACATTTGAAGCCCTTCATCGGTATGTAGTACAAAAGTGAAAACGTCTCTAATAGGATTTGAAACAATACACAATCAATCGTATATAGATATATCGAATTCAACGAGTAATTTTGACCCTGTTCTTTTCACTAAATTTCCCTCATTGTGACCCCACCCTACCCTGAGGGCCATTATTTCAACAATTCATAATTTACATAACTCCAGTATGCTTACACGAAATTTTCATCTTTTCTGGTCCAGTGGTTCTTTAGAAGAATATTTTTCTATATTTCAATGTAAAACTAAGTCCCTATCCGACGTGCCCCACTCTATCTTCGTGGGCCTTGATTCAAGAATTTAAAATCTTCACTAACTCAGGATGGTTCCACATAAGTCGCATATTTTCTGTCCCAGTGGTTCTTAAGAAAAGGTTTTTTTCTAGATATACTTCAATGTACATTGTAAAATGTTGATTCTCTGTTTTGGTCCAATTTAACCCCAGGGCAATGATTTCAATAATTTAGATTTTACAGAATACTTGCACAAACGTTTAATCTTTGTTTGTATCTGTTTTTTGCCATTTCCACACCAAGTGATCACGATTTGAAGAATTTTAAATTTTGTTCACTACCCTAGAATGATTCCACATAAATTTTCATCTTTTCTTGACCAGTGGTTCTAGAGAAAAAAGATTTTTAAAGGTTTTTCCTTTAAATTTCTATGTTAGACTTTCATTCCTTATTGTAACCTCATCCTAGCCCTGGAACCCTGATTAGAACAAATTTGAATTGTTAAATTACACCATTAAGCTTTCATATAAGTTCTTTTTTTCATTTCCAGTGGTTCTCGAGAAGGTTTTTAAATAACCCCACCATATTCTTGCGTTCTTTAAAAAATTCTCTCCCCTTGGAGGGAGGCTTGACCCTTTAATTGATTTATAATTTAGAATATCCTTCACCCTGGAAGGATTTATAGCAATTTTGGATGAAATTGGACCAGTGGTTTTTGAGAAGAAAAAGTAATAGATTTACAGAAAGATTGACAGTTAGAGAGACAGACAGACGGACGAAGGTCGGACACCAGGTAATCAAACTCATATGCTTACCACAAAGCTACACAGGTCTTGGTGAAAAGTGGCATTTAAAATCTTTCTGTGATATGACCGTTGACTAAATGAACTTTAATTGTATTTTCAAGAAATATGTGAATGTTGTGTCATAAAATTGTACATGTATTAAGACCCACTTTACCTTTAAAATATATTTTATTTAGTGTAGCGTCAAATCATAAGTTTTAAATGCCAAAATTCATCCAGACTGCTGAAGCTTTGTAGTTAGTAGCGTGTTAGTTTCAATGGAAAATGATATTTTATTTCTGGGGTTCGAGCCTCACAAAAACCATCTTATTTTTTAAGTAACCGTATTATTTTTGTTAAGTGCTAAGAAATTTTCCATTGAAAAGTTTTGGTTATCATATAATTTCATAAACTTCAATAAAGAGAAATTTACTCTATATATGAGCTAAACAAATTGAATAGGGTTTTATAAATCAAAAGCAGTGGGCCATGTTCATCCATCCCCTCAATTTCCCTGTGTGCTGATTGATATTACAACTACATTGACTAGTGGCCCCAACGTTCTTCTAGATTTAAAATGTATTGATCTGTTTGACAAATGAATATCTTTTTATGTTTACGTAAAAAATTACTGTCGATTCAAACAAAGCCATAGATTAAATAAACAGTATATTTACTACATTTAAAGTGACACATTTTTGCGGAAGTCTATCTGTAAAAGCATAATATATTACAAACCTTACTTAGCCCTTGGGGCAGCACTTGGATTTTTCTTCTTAAAAAAGGTATTCTTTATACATATAGTTAATTAAAGATTAATAAAAATAATGAAAACAAAATCTCATGGTAATCTCTCATCAAATTCTTATCTTTATCGTTGGCAAAAAACGGAGTATGGACATGATTAAAAAAAATAATCCATTCAAAATCATTACACACACAATACACTCTCTCTTACTGCTCCACACTCCATCTCTCACACCCATACCACAGCTTCTGTATAAAATGGTTGTGTTGAGATTCTTCTATCAAGGGAACGAAGCATACAGTGACGTCCATATCAATAATAATAATATAGAGAATATTTCTGGGGCAGACATATTTAAATATACAAGTTTGATTTTCTATAGATTATATCGACAAATAACAGGAAGAGTCAACATGCAACATAGATGTGTTGACATGCAAAATAATTGTAATCAGCTAAGAATTTTTTTTCTCTTATAATGATTAAAAATAACCAGCTAAGAATTTAGATTTTTTTCTCTTATAATGATTAAAAATTGGCCATATTTGACTTTCAACATGTTAGATGCAACTTTTGAATGTCAACAAGCTAGAATCCTATGTTGATATGCAAATTATATGTGTCAAGATGAAACTTATTTATGTTGACATGGGCTTTATTTATGCTGACTTACAATGATAAACATGTCAGCAAACAACTTAATTATATGTCTACTTTGATAAATATCATAGGTTAAATATGATCAAGTACCATATAAAATATTTATTTTTGCGGAAATTACTAAATCTTTTGCAAAAGAAGTTAATTTTTTTTAAGATTTAGATTCCCTTCCGCAATTTAGTGAGCTCAGCCCGGGTAGTTTATACTTTTTTGTGTTGGAAATACTCGAACAACAACCTAAGTCCATAAGAGAAATCTAACAGAACCATCAACTTTACAAAAAAGTAACAGTTGAATTTGAATTTCTCTGAACAGAATCTATAAATATATGAAAAAGATGTTTCCTGAATTGATTTTTTTAGCATTGTCAGGTACAATTTTGTTGACTATACAGACTTAGATGCTCTGGCACCAAAATTATATTCAAGGACGACTCTATTAGTAATTTATTTGCAAACATTCATGTATACAATTATACATTACATGCAGTAGTATGTACCATGGTTTTGTGCTATTATCTTATATGTTAATTAAATAAATAAGTTGGCACCAAGACATAAATAAGTTGCATGTTGACATTTTGATAACGTATCTTAGCATAAATGATCATGAAAAGGAGCACATTGTGCGTGTGATCGATTGGCAGGGGATGCTCATTCCTTCATGGCACCTGGTCCCACCTCTGATGTTTTGAGGTCCGTGTTTGCTCTGCTACTATTTTGTAGTGTTATATGTACTTTTGAACATGAATATTATTCGTTTTCTCCATATATTTTGTGCAAATGGAAGCTGCATGTAAACATAGATAAACTGCATATTGACATTAATATGTTGCATGTCAACATATTTATCTATGTATATTGCATGTTACATTGATAAGTTGCATATCAACATATTTAAGTTGCAGGTACCAACATATATGGGCGATTTTTGATAATTTTGAAAAATTTTCCAAATTCTTGAATGATTGCATTTATTTTGCAAGTCATCTAGTTTCTAGTATGTTGCATGTTGGCAAAATTATACTAGATGTCGACATACTCTATTTAAAATAACTTGCATAGAGGGGGCACAAATATGCTACCTTAATATTATAAAACAATACAGATTGTAAATACATCATGTATAAACAAAACGTCTTTGTTACCATGGGGACACTTTTTGTGCCATAGCTGCAAAATTCATTCTCATATTCACTACGAAAAAGAGCATTTCAATGTTCAATGAGAGTGGATTTGACAAATCTAAACTAACTACACAGCAGCAATACTAGCATGTTTACTAATTTGGCAAAATGTAGCAATGCTGTTTATCAAAACATTTTTTAACAATTAAGCATTGAATTTGGGGGGAGGGGCGTCGATCCTATACTACACCAGGCCGTGCCCTCAAATTGAACAACTCGCGTTAAAGCGCTATGATAATTTGTCGGAACGGACAGTTGTTATCATAGAACCAACGACATCCAAAATCAGGAATTCAGTACTTAACTAAGTTAAACAAACAAACAGACAATATATAAAACTGCAGAACGATTGCTATTCAATACTTTGTACCCTTTATATCAATCATAAATCATTTTCTGTTTTATAGGCTTTTAAGAACGCCACTTTTAGCTGGCTTAAGATATGCCAGGAAGACTCTGATGGCGACGGTCTGACAAACGGACAAGAACTGGGCGACCCAAATTGTGAGTTCCCAGCACCAACAGCAAGGCTAGTCAACCCAATGGGACACCCAGGTATCTCTCTCTTGATCTCTCTCTTTCTATGCGCATGTGTGTTTCTGCATCATGATAAGACTATAAGGATAATTCTAATTGTTAATACATTTTTTTGATTTTGTAGGAATATGTGACAATACTCAAGCTGATATGCCAAATTGCTTAGCTCCAAAAGCTGACATTTGCCCCAAGGCACCAGTTCGAAATTCTTTACCAGTCGTGTGAAGTTGATCACACATAGAGGGGGAATGAGGCGAATGGAAAAGCAGTGTTTTATATGTATAAAGACTCTTTGAATTCTTGTCAATGTTGGGTAATTGAGTTCAATGAATATTCTGGATTATACAGAATTGATAATACATACATTTTTTATTAATAAGAATACATATTGAAACATTATTTTAACGTTGAAGTTTACAGTTAAAGGTTAATTGTAATAGAAGTTGTGTTTGTGAATAAATGCCATTATAAAAACGTACAGTGATTATTTTGTAAAGCGTTTTGGCACCTTAAAATGAGAGGGCAATATGCTTCCTCGGACTACCTTATGTAGACGTTGCTGATATTAATACATGTAGTTACAAATAGTTATAAAGTTCATGAATTGAATTCATTTCTGATAAAGTATGGACAAGTTGAAAGTGGAAGAAAAAAAGACTTGATATTTTAAGGAAAGGGTAAATGACTCTTGCATTGCGTTTTCATATTATTGAAAGTTTAAAATTTTATATGAAAAATGTGATGCATTTAAAATAAAAGAAACACTTGTGGTCGAGTTTAAATTCCTAATAACAAGCTTAGACTTTTGACGATTTTATTACAAACATCAACATAACTAGACTACATATGTAGGTGATTTTAGTGGAACGGATGATTCAGTAATCTATTTTTAAAAATAAATCTCATAGAAGGCATTGTTGTACGGGATTTAGTCTTGAATACTGTTCGTTATCTCCATATTTTGCATTTAGCAGTAAGTAAAAATATGAAAATATCCAAAGTACCCAGTAAATGTTGGATGAAAGATTTTGTGTGCAGTAATGTTTTGTGTAAGTCCAGCTTATTCTCATCTAGGTGCAAAACCACATGGAATTGTCTTTGATCCCCAAAGCATTGAGCTCCAAGGTTTTTTGGAGGAAATAAAGTGTATTTGAAAAAATGACTCCCAGCATAATGAATGTGAATTGTAAATATCATTCTCTTTGTTAAAGGCAATGGTTTTCATATGTTGTTTGGACAGCTACTGAAACAGCCTTTATCAACTAAAAGAGTTTTGACTGACAAAGAGACTTGTAGATAAAACTCACACGACACGACATTGATACATATACGTTAAATTGAACTGCAATTTCCTCGAATAAAAACCCTGACCACTGCTTAGAAGAATTCGTCAGTAAGCCCCAATTCATTGTTGGGATGATACAATTGATCGGGTTATATGACTTGCAGTCCACCTTTTATTTCATCAAACAATGTTTTAGGATGAGACACACCGATGAACAACATAATCTTCTAATGTAACACTGTGATGAATAACCTTCATACGCAAAAACTGGGCATATTTTCTGCATTCCTATTTCTACCTTGTTTACAATTGATATGGGAATAATGAATCGAAAGACGAACCAATACATTTCTCTGTTGATTAACTGCATCAGTCGCAGTCTAACCTGTACAGATAAAAGATATCTGCACTAACTGATGCTCATTCTCTTCAGTACCTGGAAATCAGATAAGTGTTAAATGTTACAATGAAGAAATCAGTCTTGAAAATCCATCTTATTAACTTCCTCTTCAAAATCTGTGTTGTCCATCGGAGTTATGATTGTTTCCACATTTGTATCAACAGAATTCATTACCTGGCCAAAAGAAAAAGTGAATATTTTGAAAAAAAAAAAGTTATTAACTTAAACAAAAAAGGTAGTTAGAGTAATTGTAGTGTAAACAGTGTCAAAATTCAGTGATTTGTCCAATAAAGTATTCAGTCTTATCAATGCATTCTGCACAATGTTAAATGAGGACTCTCACACCAACCTCTGTACTAGGGAAAACGTAATTGTAATTTGAAAAATAAGTGACAATTTTCAGAAAACTGGAGACAAGATTTCCTTTGATAATTACTGTAAATAAAGCAATATTTCCCAGACTTCCCGTAAATATTCCCTAAAAGGAATGTTACTTCTTGGATTTAGTTTCATTACCGATCAGTAAGGGATGCTCACTCCTCCATGGCACCTGATCCCACCTCTGATGTTTTAGAGTTCCGTGTTTGCTTTGCTTCTAAATCGTATTGCTTAATGAACTTTTGAGCTTGAATACTGCTTGATATCTCCATATACGTCATTCAAACCCTTCAGAGAACTTTTTATTTTAAAAGATTTGTACATGTATGTCCTATCTCTTAGAGCTTGTGATGAATGTATGTCCTATCTCTTAGAGCTTGTGATGCATGTTGAAACCTAATGATATTGACATCAACATTAGGCTGTGGAAAATGTTATGCATCAAGTGTTAAAAAGTTAAAGTGAGTGATTGTCAAAACTTTTCTTTCGTCATCTCTGTACAACAAACAGGAAGATTCAATGCAAAAAATAAAAAAATAAAAATTGCTTAATTTTGACAAATCCAGCTGCACTAAATAGATCATTTAAGCTCTTTGGCTTTGAAAAAAAGGAAATGTATATTTTCATTTCTAATGTATTAATGCATAATATAAAAAGCTAATTTTAAGAAAATGCAAATTAGATTGCGCATAATAAGTCAAGACGCAGTGACAAATCGTCAATCTGCAGAAAAGCATGTTGAAGTTAACAGTTCTGTGCATTTGTGTTGGAATTATTTACGGATACCCTTCCTTCCTTAGCAATATTCCGAATGCGAACAAAGTGAAAAACCCATGTCCGGGTTATGAAAATACCCCCTGGAAACTCCTGGGACACCGATTTCCAAACCGTGTTTTATTCCATCGAGGCCAGGCAGCGGAGAAGCAGGCGCTTATTGATCAGGGAGAGAGCATCGCGGGCAGGAGTTTTCCACTTCTGAACGTCTTTGGAGAGGTAAATATGCAAAACTTAACTGCTACATGTATGTACCTCATTACTTTATATTTCATCTGAAATAAGATAGTTGCTTTTCGATACTAATAAATCTTATATATTTCATTGCATACTATACAGTATATTTTTTCAAAGGCTTTGTGTCAACGCGACATGTTAAATTACAATATTTTTTTGTAACAAACTTAATTTTTGAAACCTTATTTTATTTATTGATCTAATTGTAATTTTCACTTTGAACAAGCAACATTTCTTTTTTTTTTTATTATTTTCTTCACAGAAAGACTCCGCAATCATCAAATCATCTTCTTTATCACTCTTTTTATTTCTATCATGTCACAATTTATGAAATTTATTAAAAATTCACAAATAATGCACAAATAAAAAGTACTACATGTATTGCAAAATTAATAATAATGAATAAAAAATGAAGGTTCAATCCCTAATGCCATTTTGTGCCACGATTACGCTTCAGTTAAAATAAAATCAATTTACCAATTGAGGTAAATAAAAGTCCTACAAATGAAAATATATTTATTTGTAATCAAAATTTGAAATCGTTAAAATTTTAAAATCTCTTAAGATAGTTTTGTCGGTTTTGTATACGTTTATTTTGACACAAATGATGAAATGAACTTTACTTCAGACAACCACAATTAAAAAAAATAATTGGAGTGAAACTGCAGTGCATTCGTGCACATCAACATATGACATATTATGGAATTTAAAAAAGCTCATAAAATTTATTAATGTAATAATAATTATAATATTTCAATGTTTTTGAAATTTTAAGTGTTTTTCATAAATGAATCCTAAACATGATACCTGTCTGAATGAACAAGTACATGTAACTTCACTGCTGTACTGATAGCAGCATTAAGTGCAAAATTTGGCGACTGTCAGATTTTATTTTTGTAACTTGACAGTCCGTAAATCATGCCCGAAACGTCATTCTCATTTCAGAATAACATTTGATATAATTTTGCATAAGTTTTTATATGCAGAAAAATACAGCATATCTTCAACCACCTAATGTTTCTGCCGAACAAATAAAGAATATTAAATGAACAAAAAAAATTTTATGTTCTCAAAGGTTCTTATCAAAATCAAAATTTGAACTACATGTATCAGCGGCAATTGCAAACTGACAAGAATACCTAATTGAACTGTGTTTGTTATTAATTACCTGAAGCATTCTTAAGCAAATGATATTAATAATGTTCTCAAAGGTTCTTATCAAAATCAATTTTTGAACTACCTGTATCAGCGGACAATTGCAAACTGACTTAGAAAATTTCAAATCAGAAAGTCGTTAATCTTCATCCACATCTTATGAGAGCTCCATGCTAACTTTGCTCACAATTTTTCTTGCAATAAGGGACGTTTAAGCGTGATAACTGTTGGTTTTGTTTACATTTCATTAGCCTTGAATCCCAGGATACGAGGTTTATGTACAGTTGAATAATAATGAAAAAGGATTAGACAAAAAAAAACCTAGGCCCTTTATGACAAGATTGCAGTGAATATTTGATTACAAAAATCCATGAAAATTAAGGAAGATTTTTTAAAAAATTGTTCAATCTGTAAAATAATATCGTATGGATAAAATACCTTTAAAATATGTTATTTACCAGTCAAATACCACGTTCTACATTATACGTATAATATTTGACTTTACCCTCCGACGTAAAAAGATGTCTTTAAGCTTCATTGACTTATCTTCAAGTACATTTAAGATAATTTTCTGTTTAAGCTGTATACGGATTTGCCAAAAAAAAAAATTAATAATAAATTGACTGATTACATGTATTCTTTAATTTTAATAATATTCTTATGGGAATTGAAATTCTCTGGAATCTTCTTGTCTTCATTAATCTTAGATTTAAAAAAAAATAAGTACATTGTTTTTCTAGCCTTTTATCTCACATAACTACTGTTACTGTTAATTCTTTAATATACAATGTAGTTCCTTGAAAAGATTTTTTCCACAGCTTTAAAGCATAAAACCAGTGACATTTAAAATCTATTATATAACATTATTAATATTTAATAAAGGACTAGAAAAAGGTAGGTCCCTATGTCATTTCAACTAAGTTTATATGATTCATTACTTTTCTTGAAAATCAGACAAATAATGGTAAGATTTTGAGATTTTTTAAAACGTTTATTAAAATATTGTGTTCCGTTCGTGCAGTGACATACATCATGCAACTTCTATCATGTCCACAGTAATACGTAATAAAAGACATTAACGAGTCCCTACCATCTATTTCATACTGACTTAAGACAATAAAGAACTAAATTTTATGTTAAGCATATACTAGCTAGTACTTTCAGTTTTTCCTTCGTCAACTTTCCTTATTTATGAAATGATATTCTGCTGTCAGCTGCATATGATGTTTACATTTCCAAACTTATTCGATACTCGAGAGCAAGCTTAATTTTTTTAACGTAGGCTTCTGTATGATAAGTTGATGTTACAAAGATTTTAATAACCTCGTTTTACGGCAGTAATTACTGAGTAGTAAATTCTTTGATCTTCATAATTGGTAATAAACAATACAATAATGACCTTATTAGTATACCGTACAAGTTGAAATTTTAGCGAGATGCAAATTAAGCGATTTATGCTTATCAATTGATTATTCATTTTTAGCCAAATAAAATTTTACTGATTTTAAAATGCTCGCTAAAGAAGCTTTTTTTTTTAGCGATACTCAATTTAAGCGACCACAGCACCCTCGCTAATAATGCTTAAATTAAATCCTCGCCAATAATTCTGCTATGGTGTACTTTATAATAAGGTTGTATTTTGATGGTGTCATTTATACGCCTTTGTTTTCATAGTAAATTTGACTAAGCATGTTTTCGTGTACTTGATCAATGCACAGGGATCACGTTGCGTATAAAGGTTGGCGCTTACTCATAATAGGTTCCTGATGCCATCTCTAAAATTTCGGATGGGGGCGTGTTTTATTTGACTAAAAGCTTGTAATTTTCTTGTTCGTTGTAACCTTCTTAACTATATAGTAAATGCTTTTCTTTTTAGGCTTATAAAAGTGCCAACTTTCAGTGGGCTTTGATTTGCAATCTAGATTCCGATGGAGATGGTTTGTCAAATGGTGCTGAACTAGGGGACCCTAACTGTGTGTTTGCGAGTGGAACTCCAATAGGACATCCAGGTCTCTCTCTCTCTCTCTCTCTCTCTGAGGTTCTGACTATGTATGAAGTGTATAAGCATGAGGGTAAGTGTGTGTGAATCAAATGACTTAATGAAGCATGTTATTTGTATTTTTTAGGAATATGTGACAATAAGCAGTCTGCAATGCCAAACTGTGTATCCCCAATGAATGAGGTTTGTCCTCCACCTCCTTCACAGTCAATCCCTTGAGCCGTGGGATAGATATCGAACAAAGAGGGCAGAATACGACAAAGAAACTTCATCCACTTTGTCTTTATAAAGAGACTTTTACATTTTCAGTAATGTAATTTAGCTCAATAAACTTTTCTTTGTATATTGACTTTACCAGAATAAAGTACATGTATATTTTCTTCCTATTTATTTATGAAAGTTGAAATAAATCAAGCTTTTATTATGAATGAGTCTGTATTTATGAATTAAAACCATGAAAACAATTTTTGTCCCCCGCTTTCGCGAAAGCGAGGGGACATTAAATCTCATTCGTCTGTCAGTCTGTCAGTCAGTCAGTCTGTCTGTCCGTCACAAAAACTTTAACCTTGCTCATAACTTTTGATTTATTGGAGCTATGACTTTCATATTTCAAATGTGTATTTCTAGTGACAAGACCTTTCTTTGGGTACCCCCAAATTTGATCTTGACCTTGGAGTTTGACCTACTTTTACACAAAAATTCCAAACTTTTACTTTGGCGATAACTTTTGAACAGTAGATACTAGGGCTTTCATATTTCACATAAGTATTCTTTGTTGCAAGACCTCTCATTGGATACCAACAACTGTGACCTTTTGACCTTGACCTTGGAGATTTTCGTACTTATGAAAAAACTTTAACCTTGGCCATAACTTTTGAATGGTAAGGGTTAGGGCTTTCATACTTCACATATGTAATCATTGTGAGGAGACCTTTCATTGGATACCAAGAACTTTGACCCTTTGACCTTGACCTTAGAGTTTGACCTACTTTTTAAAAAAACTTTAACCTTGGCCATAACTTTTGAACGGTTCGGGCAAGGGCTTTCATATTTCACGTATGTAATACTTGTGGCAAGACTTTTCTTAAGAAACTACCAATACATATAATCTATTTTGTCATACGGGGTCATCAGGTTCACTTCCTTATAACCTTTGATTGAGAAGAGATGGGACTTTCATATCTGACATGTGCATTACCTTTGACAAGATTTGACACAATATGTCATAAAAAATGACATCCGACCCACAAAGACACCGAAAGCGGGGGACCACAATTCTTTGAATTTGCTTGTTTTTTCTCAAATCTACATATATGCTAAAGAGCTTTCTTAGCGTATTTTTGATTTGGTCATTCATTGCTTGCAGTGTAGATTTTGTGTCTAAATAAATGGAAGTCTCTGAAAGATGGTTAATAAGAATAATTTTCAACATGAATATGTTGATAGGAGGAAAAAATTGCTTTGTGTATAAAAAGAACTTGTGGTTTATTCGGTGATTATATTAAAAAAGTGTAAAGTAGATACGTTGATATTTTACACTGAGCATCCTGCAATTTCCACAAAACAAGGCGTTCCATCGGGGGTTATTTTTGCGGAAGTAAGCAAATTAACATCATTTCTTGGTTTAGTTTACTATGGTACTCTTTTAACCCATTCTTTTAGTGATAAATCTTGTGACTTTTTATTCATTGCAATTTCTTCCACAACGCATTAAATCCACTCTAACAGTATTCAAGATTGAAAATCCACAATTTTCTTATCAATATGATTAAAAATTGGCTGTTTTGCAGTACATTTAATTCGAGAAATAGAATTATAAGACCCTTTTGTGATTAAATACATTAAAGTCAGGGTCGCGATTCAACTTTATTCTTCTTTTTTTTTGGGGGGGGGGGGGTATTTTAATGATACCAGAAAAAAGTAATTGCAGGTTTTTCATGTACCTTTTTTATGAACATAATATCATAATTTACTATATATTGAGGACAATCTTTTGTCTTTTTTTACTTTTAGCACAATATGTACACTTCCCAGTACTGATATCTCTTAGAAACTCAGAAGTAGTGCTAGGGCATAAAAGAGTTTAAAAGCTAAGTGTAGCCGAAAAAAATATCTTAACAGCCACTTTAGTTTATGAAAAGTTCTGCAATCCTATATAAATTTTATCTTCTTTTGTTAAAATCATATTATTTAGCTGCTGGTTGCTTTTTTGTTAGCCGTGTGCTAAAGTTGAAAAAAAAAATCAATTTCTTTCACACGATTTTACCATGATCCGAGCATTTTTCCGATTACTTAATATTTCTAGAGTTCATGTGTCAAAGCTGATCAGTAAATGTCCTTGAACTAAGTAATTGCAGCCCGGAGGACCGGGCTGCTCTATACATATAAGTTTCAGTGTTTGTGGCTGCTCTATACATATAATTTAAGTGTTTGTGTATGGGGATTGAGGTGGGAAAGTTATTCAGAATTAGAGGTTTTCTGAACATTAAAAAGATTGTTAATCAGAATGTTCTTTCCCTTTATAAATTACGAGATACATTATATATTTACTTCCATAAAGTGAATCTGTAAAAATATATATGTTTTTCATATTTAATATATAATGTTGCTTATCATTTACTATCGAAAAAACAACAGGTCGCTTTTTTTAGAAGATCAACTTTTACTTATCGCATAAAAACTTACTTGACACCAGTTCATATTTTATATTGTTAAAGTGAAATACATTTTTGAAAATAGGTGATGCATGAGTCTGGTTTAAGTTTATATTTTATACAGCTAACATTTACTTGAGGAATTGATAAAGTTTAAAAGGGTATCGTTCTTGTTCGATTTTCATCCGACTATAAGTTTTCAAAATATTCTCGACTATCGTCTCCATCATTTAGACACATGCCTTTTTCGCATATATTGATGCGATTTGATGATCATGACTCATTTCCATTGTTTACTTTATTTATATTTCACGGGCGACATCAATGTTTTCTTATTCGAATTAGATACAATGTAGATTACAAGGTCAGTATGCAATGGTCCCTACAGACAAAGTAGGTAACAATATTGTCTCTGTTTGTTAGGCTCATTATTTAAACCCTTTTACGGTAACTGTGGTACTGCTCGTTTCTAGGGCAAAATGAAATACTTTCGTGAAATATACGTAAGAGCAACTGTTTAGAAAACGTCATTTGATTATCTATCAACAAAAACTCCGCCAAACGTTGTTAACTTGCCCTGCAGAAGAGTAGTACCGCAGTTACCGTAAAGGGGCTAATTGATGTGCTGGAATTTAATTCTACTAGTGGTAATCCATCTTATACTCAAAACGCCCCCTCTCTGAGGAGAAAATTCTTCAAATTCATTTATAAGTTTTGAATACTTTTGATATTCCAAACAATCAACATGAATTCGAATTACGATGTCTATATTGGATATTAAAATCTCACAAAAATCCTTACAAACAAAGATACATAGTGGGTTCCCGTAATGTTTTACAAATTTCCTTCTTTACTCTTTACTAAATTATTAAAAATATTGAAGGAGAAACATCAGGAATACTGTACAACAATACGAGGGCTGTTCAATAAATAATGTCTTGTGCTCTATGACATACAACATAAAAATCATATAACACTAAGCTTGAGTTTCTCTCATGATTAAACCTTTAATGAATTGATTACAGTTTATGTGACCACTTTCATCACATAGTTTCATTGTGAGAAGCTGGAAAAAAAGGGCTATTCGAGACACTGCATTATAAAAATGAATGGTAAATAATCAGTTAACTAGAGTGAAATTAAACGCTTCATTAACATGATTAAAGCTGCTGTAAACTTGTTATTAATCTCAAAGAAAAATTCAATGAAATGTGTGAAATATAAAGCAACCAATGTCTGATTTATAGACATATGAGCAGGTGGATTACAATGGCCAAAAATGATATAATGAGCATCAAAAATGGGTACCGTTCTTGGCGACCAGGATTTTCAACAACCAATGTACTGTTTGCCAAAATTCAACAAATTATCACTGACGATGTTTGATTGACTTTAAGAAACATAGAAAAATTGATAGGCAACATTTTGGGGGTAGTTTACACTGTTTTAAAGAAATGTTTGACAATAAAAAAGCTTAACACTCAATTGTCACCCTAAATTTTGAAAAATAAGTGAAAAGAGCATCGAGTGAAAATATCTCAACAATTAAACAGATAATGAAACTTGAATTCATTGCTTTAAACCCTCGAAACAATTTTACAATAAGATGCACTTGACAAAAACAGACAAGGTCTGCGAGGAGAAAAGAATTATTGCAAAAGCACAAAAACAGTTTGATATGCAATTTTCTTAGATATTAGTGGTCTTAATGTTTATATTCTTATTCGAGAAGGCAGTTCAATTTCTGGAGAAGTTTAGAAAGCAATTTTTTGCAAAAAATCAAAAAATGCGTGTCGCACGCATAAAATTTCAATCGTTACTGTGTCGGGGAAAATTTACTGTGTCGAGAGCAACACAGAAAAACAGCTCATGGAGAGCCCTGCATTTCACACAGTATAATTCAATGCCTACTCATTTTATTACTTAAATCTGCTTTCACAGGATAAGCAACTCTGAAGCGCCTATGTCTTTCCTTGAAGTTCGAACTTATTAAATTTTTTCTTCAGATTTTTACAGTTAAACCGTTTCTTCACAGATTGTCCTCATCCGTTACAGAGTCTCTGTCACTCAAATATTGACTGTACCATTTGCACACTAATGCACACTCGCTTGTGACATCTTATTATTCCTCCAACATTTTTAGAGTTTATTCAGGATTTTTGAACATTTTTCCTGAGTCAAACACAAAATTGCATCGTTATCTGCTGCTTCGTGACGTTCTTTAACGTCATCGTTTTTGTCGTTTTGAATGAGGGCTACCTATCTTCTTAAGTTGATTTCTTTTCAACAAAGCAAAATATTAAGCCATAATTTGGAATATGAATCGATGTAACAATTCATAATTTGAATTTCTAGGTTGTTTTTCGTCTTTGCTCCATTTTACAGAGAATATGACTACAGATATTATTTAGTGTATTGTGTGAAACTTACTAAATTTTGACCTGCTAACGCGATCCGATTTCTGCACTTTTAAAATCTGGATAAGTTCCGAATAAATCGGAATATTTTGGAAACAATTTAATACAAATCATTTGGATTTATTTTTAAAATATTTCTACCAAATTTGGATAACATACATAATGACATCAAATAAAAAAATAAAAAAGATATGACAGTAGTCCACGAACTTTTCGAACAACCCTCGTATATTTTATTAAAACAAAACTATAATCCTCATCCCTTACGATTAGTTATTGCTCATCATTTGCTTTTAAGAAGAAAAATTTGTAACGTAAATGCTTGTGGCTGAATTTTGTCATTTAGTAAATAACAAG